TTATCACCATATGTGATCTTGGTTGACCAGAACTTTTATACTATTTTGAGTAATTCAACAGTGCTCAGCTCAAATTCAATTGAACAGATTTCGAGCCTTTATTCAGGTAAATTTATTATCTTTACGGCTGTGTAAAAAGAGGATAAGCGTCCTCTTTTCATCCAGCACGACTCCCTCTCTATCCTCAAGAGTCCTGAGAAAGCAAACATATTTCTTACCTAAATTCATACTAATCTTCCTTAGCTGGATACAAATTACGCTCTTTTGTGTCTTCTAACTTGCGCATTTATCATTGTACGGAAACACATACTCTGTCAAAAATCATGGTACCCTTATTGACAGTAAAGTGGAGAAATCAATTTATTCTATATCTACCGATATCTGTCTATACATTTCTACTACATTTTTTGTTGCTATGATTATATATAGCTTCCCTGGCAGAGCTAGTCATTCTTTTTTATTGAGTATTGACATGAAGTCTCTCAGAGAGTGAGATCTAGCCCTGAGGGTATATCTCATATATCATGACAGACTGAGGCTTAGTCTTAAATAAAAGATCTAGTCATTTTAGTTTGCATGAGGTGATTAAGGACCGATAGATGCATTTTTTTCAGAATCATCAAAGAATGCCTCACATTTTTTATTAATTTCACGTAGCCACCACTTCCTTAAAGGTATTTTCATTCTGGATGGGCTGGGCTTGGGTTTATACCTCACTCTTGTCTCATCAGCACCACCAGCGTATATCAAATGAAATGGAAGTAAGCTCAACAATTATGAAACAAGAGATTCCTCGAATACAAACTTTTCTTCGCATATACTACTTACGTATGGTACGAATTCTTATCAACTTTCTTCTAGCTATACGAAAACAAAGAAATCCCAGCAAGTCAATATTATTAGATTTTTTAAAAATTGTTTTTCACATAATGTAATTGTTTTCTTGGTAGGAGTCCGGGTTTACTTATTTTCACTGATAGGAAATTGGAAAAGATCTCAAGTGCTTTGATTAAGAACAGGCTAAAAGAAAGTATAGACAAATTACATGACCTGATTCGGAACAAAATGAGGACTAGACAATGCTTTTCTCTGCCGTCTTTTAATAAGACTTTCTCAACTTACAGAACATGACGGACGGTTTAGCGAAAAAAATGCATAAGATTCACAAATCCTAGCATGATAAAAAATTAAGGAATATAAGTATTAAAATCAACTCAATGAATAGCCAAAACAATAAGGAGATAATTAAACTTAGTGCTGATTGTTATATTAAAAAATACAGTAATTAATTTATTTAGTATAACTATATGATAGTGTTAAGCTCCTCTTGGGAAGGGATCTAAACTTTGCCTTTCCAAATGCGTAAAATCATTCTATGGAGATACTGGGTAAATTAATTAATGTAACACTCAGGCTCTCAGAATAGGCCAAGAATAGTATAGAAAGAGAAGTGATTGCTCATTTCGAAAAGGTAATTATCCGAAGGAAATCTTATGGCATGAATATAATTTCTAGTTATTTGTACCAAAATGACTTGTTTTTCATGAAGGCAAATAAAAGTTGGGGCAGTAGTCATCATGGATAGTTAAAGTTATATAGAAAAAAGAATAGTTCGTTTAAATGACTCAGAAATATACAGACTTTTAGTGGAAGATCCTAAACAGAGTCTTAAGGCCAGACTTAGGGACTAGCTTAACGTTTGTGTAAGTAAAGGAGAAATCGAGAGGTGGTAAATGAATTAACTTTTTCAAAGGGATGTTAGGGCACCTCCAGCTCACGACCTTCCATAGATGCACAAGGAGAGAGTTTCTTTAAGATTGATTGTTAATAATAAAGGAAGTATTATGCATTTGATTTTACACTTCCGTTTCGAGTGAAAGTGTTTAGTGAAGAGATTCAAGGGTCGATTCAACCAGAAAACGACGTAAAATTCCTCTTGAATAGCTGTCGATTAACTTTACTGGAACATTCATAGTGACACTGTTTCCGAGGAAATCTCCTTCGATTCCGGTGAAAAGGTGCTAAACTTTCGTCTGTCATATAACGAACATCATCAAAGCAAGGTATCATCGTCACAACCAAATTCAAACTAACGAGCTTGATAAAACTGGAATAACTCTTAACTTCCAGTCGAAGCATACTTGTGAAATGATGATTGGAATACTCTGGAGTATCTTCATAAGAAGCCTACGACTCACTGATTCTGAATTCTTGCCAGAGGATCTGAGAATACTAACTCAGATGTTTATTGGAAACGGATATCCCAGAATAAGCAATACAGCGCAACATACGGATGGTGATGAACAGATGGAAGAACGGAGCTTATGAAAGGAAAGCAGGTGGAGCAGAGGAAAAACGATGGATATGTCTACCCTCCTGCGAGGTATCTTAGAAGCTACGGCCGATACGAGGGAAATGGAACATTCGTACAGTTCTGAAGGAAATAACAACCCTCTTCACCAGCATGCCCATGAAGAAGTCAACAAAATATAGTTCTCCGGAGTTAACAGTATAGACTACAAGAACTGTGAACAAAATACGTTCGAGAGATGGGAAGGACAATCAGCACAGGGATCAAAGAACACCCGTGACTATGCAGATAAATGTAAATTGGAAGATCGGAGATAGCTAAACACAGTGCCCTTACCGGCCACATAAATGACTGGAATACAACCTAAATGCTGGCCTCATATGGGGAGAACACCAGAAAACGGAAGATCAGGGAGGTTGTGGACATCCTCTTCCAAAGAAACCTGAGGAATAGGAGATTATAAAATAAAGAAGTCAGCAATAATTTCGCGTACTGCTTGGGCAGATTTGTAGCTTCAACGAAGACATCTAAAATAAGACACTTGGACTCAGGACAACTGTTCAACAACAAGAAGAGACATCATCAAGGCGCATCTCATGAGGGACAAAGTGAAGTCAAGAAATGGTAATTGTAGTGAGAGGAGTCAAACCTGGAATCGGCCAAAAATGTATTCGGAAGCGATCTACCTGTGGGAAGTAGCATATGAAATTAAAGGCTAAAGCTATAGCTGGGCCAGATATAGGTCACTAGCGTGTGTGCGTAGGTGTTGTGTGTATTTTTGGTATCTGTGTCTGAGGAGGAGATGACTGGTAGCATGCTTGACCACGGGGATACCAGCCGATAATCTCATGAACACCGTAACCTAGGATTAGATAGGAGAGTCAACACGAAGGACGGGAGGTGTGTGCTTTTGGTGGTCTAAGCTAGTAGGAGAAAGAGAGCATATTATGGGTCTGGAGCTCTGCAAACGGCACCTGGTACTGGTGGTGGAGATGATTACGCTTCACTAAACCCACTTGTAGCGACACACCCTTAGGTGACATTGGAGGGAACGAGAGGACAAAATTGTGTGAATAAGTGGATGGGTCATATACGTGGGGTTGAGAGAGATGTGGCACTATAAGGTAGAAAAAGAAATAGGGGCGAGGAGTAATGCCACAAGAGTTCAACAGAAAATTGGTCAAGGCATTGCCTCCATTTGTCACTTTGATAAGTTGTAGCTCTGTGTCTATGATGATGCCGGCGAAATGTTTTGGAAATGTACCAAATCAAATGTCCGAAGCTGGAACTCATGGATATTATGGCAGAGGATACCGGACTAGGTACGTTTCACAAGGTCTCTCTGACTATCCGATCAAGTTGCGAAATCGAGGCCGAACTAACATTATAAAGCTAAAGGGTACCGCGACAAAACAAAAGGCCAAAACATCTTGGTCCTCCTATCTCCTATCCTATGTTTTGTCTATGTGTTTGCTTAAAAGTGAAATTAAGTGGTTGCGGATGACATGTGAAGAGGCTACAGATGAAGCGTGAACCGGGTGCAATTGTGACCGAACAGCCGCATCCTCTCATAAAACACGTATACTTTGATCCTGCAATGTTGCCGTATGTGATGGCGTCCCATTGCACACGTGTTGTGTGAGTGCATTGCTCTTGAAATTTGTGTGATGCAAGAGTCAAAACCAGATTCCAGCCTAATCAAGCCTCCTCCTCTTGCTCGGTGGTACTTCTCGTTCCTCCCTCTTTTCTTGCTCTAGAACTATCCAACAGCCACACACAGTTTCCGCTTAACTTCCTACACTCATTCCTTCTATTCAGTGTGTTGGCTGTTTCGTTGATTTATATCGCCTCCCTAGTCTTTCACTTATTGCTTGGTATAGTCTCCATGTCCAGCTAAGCCTCTGGCATCAGACCAATCTATTTTGTGTCCTGTGCGAGCCATGTGCTCGACCAACTCCGATTTTTGCAACCACATATACAAAAAGAACATCCTCAGAACAGTGTATTATTCTTACAAACATATTCAAGTTTAATATTGAAGTACCTTTCATTTCGTTTGAAGAGGCGAGTGGAAGGGATTCGTAAATTGGTTGCACCGGAGGCTGTGGAGTGGTTGCCTTGGAGCTGTGGTTGTAGACTTGCGCGAATAGGCCCTCGGCGCACCGCTCTGTGACCCCGATGCATACTTGCTCAGCTTTCGCCGTCATGTGACGGACAACATGCTTAACGATAATTCATCAAAACCCTAAGACAGGAAAGGTGGCCGGCTTCAAACCGAAGTCCTTTTCATAGTCCAATTTGGTCCACTTTTGGCATCTCATGGTTTGGTTGGATGATCTATGCTTTGCCTAAATGTATGCTCAAAAGTTAATTTTAAGGGCTACGGATGACATGTAAAGTGGCTGTTGATGAAGCGTGTTGGCTGCTTTGTTGATTTCCATCGCTTCATTAATCTTTCGCTTACTGCTTCGTATAGTCTCCATGTCAAGCTAAGCCTTTGGCATCAGACAAATCTATCTGGTGTCCTGTGCTCGGCCGAATCCGATTTTTGGAACCACATACACTTGCAGGCTGTTTTGTGTTCACATGACCTCTTATGTATGGATCATCAGGTCTCTCCCACATAGGCACTATCACATGAACACAAAATCTTGTAACAGCCCGATCTGGAGAGCAGGTCAGGGTATTCTCGAAGAGAAGGCAATACCGAAGAAAGTCTTATTTTCTCTTTATAAATCGTCTGGATGTCCCACCTCCTCAGTAATTCGCCTATCTTCTTCGACAGATTACACAATGGCAGCATACGGATTCTGGTAGAATGATCTATCTTTTTATACAAACCGGGTTACTGCGATATACTGTGTTCAAATGTGGTCACTTTTATGTTGTCGTCTCATTCGAAAAAGGGTGGCTGAGCACTAAAGCGACTACAGATGCTGTTGGATTCAAAAATCGGATGTGGTTGAGCAAAATGCAGAAACTTGACACTAGAATAAATTACCTCAAACTTCTCGTTTTGCTGATTATGGCATAGAGAAGTCTAAACTACGTATGGTTAGTTAATTGACTCAAAGAAAGGGAGGGTGTTGGGCAGCCTGGAAAAAGGATAAGACCCAACTAGTCTTTTCTTGTATAGTAGTTGTTTGACCTTGTCTTCGCAACTTGTTAGGGAGACCTTGATTTAATATTAAAATGCATGAATAACAGACTCTTAGGTTGAATCCAGTTTTACCGCAGCTAGTTAGCTTTAATGCCACTTTCAGGTTGCCGCAGTCCACGAGACATCCTCTCTAGTTTTGGATGAAAACGGACTGAGCTTTCGTCCATCAAATGATGGACAAAATCAGAGTCGGAACTCAGTCTTGTAAAAGTCTCACATTAACACTAGGGCAAGAAGACTATCCGGCTCTATCTTAAATGTTATACAAAATCATAAAATCCACGGTGAAGGGTGAAACTTTGTACATTTTAACTAGAATCGAAAGAGATTACCTCGGAAACAGTTCAATAAGAATGTTCCGGTAAAGTCAATATACAGCTGATCAAGAGAAATCCGCCGTCGTCTTCTGGTGCATTCAAACATCGAATCCCTTCACTACACACTTTTACTCGAAATGACGGAAGCTCAACAAGCGTAAACAACCATATCACATTTTTGAAGTAGGATTTTCGATGAAGCAAACTTGTGATTTGACAATAAAATCGACTACACTACTTAAATTTTGAGTAAGTAGGTTTTCAAGGCAATCACTAAATTTCGAATACGATTTCTAGTCACCCCAGTCGTACATTGTGATGTAGGACTGATACTTGAATTGTAGATAACTTTAACTAATGCTCCTTCATAACCTAAAGCAATTTAAGGTGAATAAGTCTCATATACCAAATTTACTGATAGTCTCCTTCGCCAGAACCAAAGGAAGGGGGCCTGTGGATTGCGTCAAATCCCACGACATGCCGACGTCAAAAGATGGCAGAGCGACAGGAATCTACCGTCGTCTTTCAGTGAGTTCGACCTATGAAGATCTTCATCGTAGAACTTTTAGGCAAAATAAATCCACCAAATCAAAAATGGCAATGTGGTCTAATCTCGTTTTTGCAAATTGTTCGTGTTGCCCGGGTGACTTAGTTGGACGCTATTTGGGCTATACCATTTATGATAATTCCCATTGTTGGACCGTTGACTTGGTACTATAGCAAGGGAACTGAGGGCCTTCAACTAGGTTGCCCTGAAAATACGACTAAGTTGCTAAGACGAGTTTAGCCCACTTCTGTACAGCGAAAGTAGACTACGACGAAAATAGAAGCCACAATCTCCTGCGTTCATAAGTACGATTGGGTTATTTAGGTTGCGAGAGGTTGGTTCTAGATAAAGAGCTATTTTGCAGTTCTTTCGTACTCAAGCCACTCTTCTATGTGCTTCAGACACTTTCGTCATGCAATTATTTTATCCGGCAACCAATTTTCTTGGCCTGAGGCTTTTCTCAAAATCAAAATTTTTTTACTTATTTCTTAACTATGATAGATCCAGGCATACTTTGGTGGTATCAATAAATAAGGCAATCTTGTTGATTTATGACTTCTTTACATTTACTTTCAATTGTAGGCTGCCCCGGAAAGGTGGAAGAGAAGAAGACTTGCAAAGGTAACGAGCAAACAATTTTTAGAATCCAACCTGCCTTGGTCAAGGGTAAATGCATTTCAAATCAGACCAAGATTGTGAAAAAGTTCACCTGTCCAGTGAAGCCTGTTGTCGAAACTGTCTGCACCGCCTGCCAGGGCATCCAAAAGGTCTACAAGTTCGAGGCCAGGGAGTGCAAATGCAGCAAACTACTGGTGACAACAAGAAAAGTCAAATGCTGTGAGTCATCTTCTATCTACCCTAGGCCCGCCAGCATGCACACAAAGACCCAGGGTCTTGAACATGATCTGTTTGTTCTGAGTCTTAAGCTTATCAAGCTTGAAAGAAAGTTGGCCCTATAGTGGAGTTGAGAAGATGGGACTACCTCGTGACACCCACTGAATCTTGAACCTATATTGTTTAAGGGTGCGCATGCTTTAGGGAGCACGGATGAACGAATGTTGGCCCAAAATATTTATTATTTTTTAAATTTACGCACTAAAAGCATAGACGGGATGAGCTTCCCAATTCGTTGAAGTAGCCTCTCCGAAATAATCAACAGACTTTGAGCTGTCTTGATCAGTCTGGATGTCTTTTTGATCCTGTTCACAATGATGACGTCTTTGTATACGATTATTTGGCGAAAAGGCTTGATCAGTGAGTTAAATTTAACTGTATTATGTAGGCCAGAACTTGACTTGACTTGACTAAGATCTTTAGTCATCTTGAATCGCCTAAGAGGACGTAAGAGCATCTTTTGAATTTTACCACAAGTAATGAAGTATAGCTCACGATACCATCACAGTTTACTCGAAAAGGCTTTCCCTTCCAGACTTGAGTACAGCTTCTGTCTTTCCCGGGTATCATCAGCTTCTTCAACGGGATTGCAATTTTGGTTGTGTAAATTAAGTTGCGACACGCTGCCATTCAACTTTTTCAAGGACAGAGCAGATATGACTTTCAGGGCAAGCTTGGCCCATCTCAATATGCGTATAAATTTAGCTTGACCATAAGGCATACTCTCATTTGGTATTACAACCTATGATACTACTTATGCTCGACGTGAGTAGGCTTGGAGGGCAGCAGTAGATCCTGAAAAATAATTTTACTTATCCTATCTTACGATAAACTCTGTTCTGAGTCCTATTTTGGGCATTGCTAAGACCTACATGGAGTCGAAATGCAATCCATGTAAGATCAGAGAGCCTTGTTCAAACATGACAATGATAATTAAGACGAACTTTAGAAATCTACCAATTTCAACACTTTATTCACAATCGTACGCAACATAAGTTCACTCACGTAATTCCCTATTCGGGTTTGAGTGCAGTTTGAATCCAGCCTCCTCGTATTATCTTTGCTTCCGCTGGGATTCGAACCATTAAGGAGCAGGTAATGAGGCGAACATGTCAGGCTTCGTTTACGCCAACCAAGTCCTGTAGATAGACAAAAAATAATCAACTTTTGGACGAAGTAACTCAATGAAGGTAAGATTATGTAAGTTGCGTTCAGCCTAATTCTTTTAAGGTGATGAAGAACTGGTT